GCTCATCGTGAGCGCTACACTGCGCGACAAAATCTTTCGGACACTTACATTTTTATCTATAGCTTGGCTTCTAGAACGAGTTGAGACGTGCAATTTAGATATGTTTAGCCAATCCAATAGGTCTATAGCTGGCATGTGACACGGAGCTAGATTTCCGAGTATGTCGGTAGGCTGGCATACAAGGAACTAAGATTGGGCTGCGACACGATTTTCGGACACACTTTTATCTTATTTTTAGTAAGGGCAAGAATGATTGTCCTAAGCGGTCATCCAATCAATCTCCCTTCTGGCTTCATATTAGTATGGGACGCGGACCACCCATCACCGACGAAGAGCGAGGGAGGATCAAGGGCGTCCACGAAGCAAACGTGGGGGTGAGAGAGATAGCTCGCCGCCTCAAGAGGTCGCCGGACGGCGTGAGCTACGTACAGTACTGCGCACTGAAGACAAGCGCGCGGCAAAGCCGGGTAGGTCGAAGAGCCTCACCGACCGCCAGATTCGGCATGTCGTACGTGGGGCTGCCACGGGAAACTATTCGGCAGCGCAGCTGAAGGCTAGAATGCTCTGTTCGTACCGTTCAGAGGCTGTTGTCTAAGGTTGATTTTTTAGTCTACTCATAGATGGATAGAGCGCTCCCACTCACACAGGAGTACATGGATGCACGCTTAGAGTTCGTGGAAAGGCTTTCGTCTGCAGCCCAGAAAGAAATTGTTTGGCCTATGATTATTTTTTCTGACGAGAAAAAAATCAATCTAGATGGACCTGATGGCTATAAACACTGTTGGAGGGACCTGAGACGTCCTGCTCGGCGTTATTTGACGCGCCAAAATGGAGGAGGGTCGCTAATGGTGTGGGGCGCTTTTGGCGCTAAGGGAAAGTCGGAATTGGTTGTTCTGGAGGGGCGCCAGAAATCGTCGAACTACCTCTACACGGTGTCTGAGTATATGCTTCCGTTCGCGCACGCTAAATACGGTACAGACTTTGTGTACATGCAAGACAATGCGTCTATTCACGCTTCCTACGAATCCAAGGCGCTCTTCAAAGAGCAAAGGGTGACGGTGCTCGACTGGCCCCAGACCTGAACCTAATCGAGAACGTGTGGGCAATCCTCGCAAGAAAGGTGTACAGTAATAATTAGCAGAATGCGTCTGTACCTGAGCTAACAGTTGCTGTGAGGGCTGCATGGGATTAGGTTACGATGGACGAGTTGATGAAGTTGATGGACTCGATGCCATCGCGATGCTTTGAAGTAGCACAAAAGAACGGTTATAAGACGCATTACTGATAGTTTTTCGCTTAGGACAATCGTTCTTGCCCTTACTAAAAAATAAGATAAAAGTGTGTCCGAAAATCGTGTCGCAGCCCAATGTTTAGTTCCTTGTATGCCAGCCTACCGACATACTCGGAAATCTAGCTCCGTGTCACATGCCAGCTATAGACATATTGGATTGGCTGAACATATCTAAATAGCACGTCTCAACTCGTTCTAGAAGCCAAGTTATAGATAAAAATGTAAGTGTCCAAAAGATTTTGTCGCGCAGTGTAGAAGCCACGCGCTTCAGAATGTCCCTTGGCAGCATGCGCTTGCTGACCGAGTGGGCGAACCGAACACGAAGATCCCGCTGGTCCAGGATGCAGGACAGTAGCTGATCTTCATGGAGTTCCCGTAACTCCGATGGTGAGTACTTGAGAGACTCCACCCAAGCCCAGAACATGTCCTCACATGAGTTCCAGTTAGGACGGTTCTCGGGAAGAACCCAGGGATAGCCCCAGAGAGGGTAGAGACCACCCCGGTTCTCGGGCTTCTTACGACAGGTCGTGAAGTCCTTAAGAGGGATACGGTGTGGCGCAAGAAGCACACACATCGAGCCGCCTCCAAGTTGTCGACAAACAACTGCATCTTCTGGACCAGGGTACATTCGTAAACGTCCCTAGAGGTGTGTCCACCAACAAGGCCACGAGAAGCGACGAGAATCTCCAGGAAGGGGTCAGCCCCAGAGCTCTTCTCGGGGGGCCAATACCCTCTTGAGTTGATGGCAGCTACCTGGCTGACTAGTGCTACCAACGGACCCCCACGCGTACGTTGGGCAGCTTGGTAGTCCTCCTGCTGCTGGTCGAGGTCGTTAGTGATCTCCCGGGGCTCAGGAATAGCACCCTCATCCGCTTTCACCTCCCCTTCGTCCTCTTCATCCGAGGAGCCGAAGAGGTTCCGATTGGAGTACCCAGTCTCCTTCTCCTCGTGGAGTGGAGACTTCGAAGCCGTACGTTCTTAGAAGGCTTGGCGCCTTCGGCTTTAGCGGCCTTAGCACGCGCAAGACCCGGCAAGCGAGTGATGGCGAGGCTTCTTCTCCTCGTCGTCGCCAGCTTTAGGAGTGCCATTAGCCTTGACGGCCGGGCTCTCAGAGCGCACCGACGTCCTGGGGCAGTGGTCGCCGTGATCACTAGCGAGCGACTGCACGCTGTCGTCTTCGTGCTCGCTGGACACTGGGCTGTGCCCTCCCGTAGGGCCCACGAAAGCATCGTGCGTGCTCCCGTACTTGACTTCTTCCTCACTGCCCGAGTCGAACTCACGTTCAGCGAACCGAGGGCTCGGGCGGTTGTCTGGAGTGGCCGAGGGTGACGGACTGCGGCGCTTGCTCGCACGCTTGCCCACAGCCGCGTCACCAGCTGAGCCGCTCGCCTCGGAGGCTACCTTAGTAGCCCCCTGGCGTGCGGACATTTGCCGCGAGGCTAAGTGCTCTTGGCTTGCACCTTTCTGGCAGCAGCCTTGGAGTGTACTTTCGTCATGCTCTTCGCAGTGCCACGGGACATGCCAGAGGTCGAAGCGGGGACCGAGAAGAAGAGCGCTCAACCGCTGCTCGAGGCTCTAACTGTGAAGTGAGCCTCCGCCGCTCTTGCGCGGCCAAGTCGATGTATTTCGACTTTGAGAATGAAAGTTTGTGACGTACACTTCTTCATTCTGATTGGTCCGTAAACCGAACCTAAGTGGGGGGTAACGGGGTACGTAGCCCTAAGTGTACCCCAAGTTACATGGAGTGTGACACGTCACACTTCGGGATATTTGGTACAAGGTACCAAGGTCGTCCAAAGCCAACCATTGGCTGATGACATTGCTTTTCTATAGGTGACTTATAGTTTGTATACTTAACTCAAGCTTAGCCTACCTATAAATATACTCAGCTTACAGCCTACCTAAATTGGTCACCCAGCTCCCTTTAGGTAAAATGACCTGTGAACTGCCGTTCACTGAGAGTTTGTAAACTCTCGGAAGCCAACTTCCTCTAGCGCAAGGTGCTGTGTGACCCCGTCACATGAGGGAAGGATATGCCCGTAAGTGGTCCATCTGTGGCACGGACTGTTCCGAGTAAGCGAAAAGATAGGGGAATACGCAGTGAAGTTGGAGACGGCAGGCACCGAATATCGCGTGCTCCCTGTAGTACACGTGTCCAAGCTAAAACTGGTCAGAGAATATCCGGAGCGGCCTAAGATCCATCTTTCAGTGGATGAGTCCAACCGAGTGGATTTCGACGAAGTCTTCCTACCAGAAGATAGCTGGAACGTGGATCTGTAAGCGGATGAGTTCGAATTCGAGAAGATCGCCGACATGAGATCAGGGAAACGGACCAGATTCGGACGAGTTTACCGTGAATTTCTGGTATATTGGCGAGAATACGACGAGCCCAGCTGGGTAGACGAGGCAGATCTGAACTGTGGGGCATTACTCTATGATTTCTTGCGGGGTCGTACGAGTCGGTATCGATTTGGCGTGATGCAGGCTCACGAAGAGGATGAGGGGGAGGGTCCATGGATTAGAGCTAGTCATGTCGGTGGGAAAGTGAAGAAAGACTCACATGTAGGGTGTGGACCAGGAGGAGGAGAATCACTGATGTGAGCTGGTCATATTAGAAGGGAAGAGAAGAGTCCACAGAAAGGGTGTGGATCAGGAGGAAGGGGTGGATGTCTTATGCATAAAGAGTGGCGTTTAACGTACAAGGATTCCCGGACCAAATTCGGTTTCAAGTGCTCGGACCATATTGGTCTGATTATGACTCGACTTTATGAGGTGGATCCGGCTCGGATCCGTGCTTGGATCCGGTTTAGATCCCAGGGTGAATCCGGCTCGGACTCAGAAGTTGGCCCAGATCCAGATATGGATTTAGCTTGGACCCCAAGGTGGATCTAGCCCAGATCCAGGTGTACGCCGAGGGTCTGACATGGCCTCTATCAGACAAACGAATGTTAGGGAAGACGCAATCAAGTAGCGAGAAGTGGATTAGGAGAGCTTATACAAACAGACTAGATCGATCCAGTTTCCAGCCGCTAATTGCTACTACGAGACGGATCCACGAAGACTGGAACTGACGGCGTGACATGGAGGAGTGGAATTGATCAGGTAGTCTTGGACTGAACGTTGAAGAACTTTTCACCAGACGTGGGATCCGGTGTGCTGGATGTTGGCTGGGATCCACCCGAAATTGGTTGCGCCAAGGTTCTGTTTCGTCAAACTCTCGCAAAGCCTCCAATAAGCGCGCTGGTTCGGGGAGGTGAAGGTTGGGATCTTCCAAGTTAGCTCGGCAAAATATTCAAAGAGGCGATTAACATTTAACATCATCTTCTGGATTGTGTCACTCACATAACCCAACTTCACACTCAAGAATCTTGAGCATATCTTGTGTCAAGATATGCTGATCAATCAGGAGTGTATGTTGCAACTTGCGAGGGATGAAAACAATTTGCAAGTTTGGAGCGGCCTGGGTACAGCCTTTAAAACGATCAAACGGGGTGCAGCAAGGTGCTGTCTCTATGGAATGGCCTCCAGCCCATTTTCACCAGGTTGAAGTGACAATCACTCTGTTGTTGAAGTTGACAATACCAATCCTAACTGTGATTGTCCTTGTAGATTGACTGGTCCACGTTAATCAATACGCTCTTCTGGAACTTCAACGGTGCCGTTGGCATGTGGTGAAGTGAGGAACCCCGGACAAACATACCCCCGGGCAATGTTAATTTCAGTGCTGTTGATCGCCCTCACGTACCTGATGCCGCTGTTCGGTGCGATTGTGTTCAACTCGCCGAATTGGACGACATGGGACGACGGATCATTCTCGAGCATCGCGTCGGCCATTGGAAGCACTGTCCTTTCGACGTGGATCATGTTGGCTTCTTTTGGGAGTAATGCAGGCATGTACATCGCGGAGCTGTTTTGCGAATCGTTCCAGATCATGGGAATGGCTCAAAATGAGCTTGCGCCGGCGATTTTTAAAGCGTAAGTTCTGGTATCTATTATATTGTGCTCAATTTACTAATACGTGTTGTCCATCTACTGCAGACGCAACAAGCGATTCAACACGCCGCACAATGCCGTATTTGCGAGTCTCATCGTCATCTTGATACTTATCGAGCTCGACTTCAGCGACGTCGTGAACATGACCAATGCGCTATCAGCCTACTACCAGATGCTGATTTTTGCAGCATTTATCAAGCTGCGCTACACACATGCGGAACTCAAGCGTCCATACAAAGGTACGCTAACGGTGTTGTTTGGAAATAGTGCTTGTGTATAACATGACTATTAATGTAAAACAGTTCCTGGAAGCATCCCTTTGCTATTGCTTGGTCTCTTGATCTCGACGGCCTTGCTGGTATACATTGTTGTCGACGTATGCTTCACTCTGGCACCGGCGATGATCGTAACACTGGCGGGGTTTGCGTATGCAAATTGGAAAAGATTCACTCGCGTGCAATTCGAGAACCTGAGCATGAATGGAAAGTAAACACTGAGCGTACCGGTCAATGTAAATAAGTGTAATAGGAAGCAAAACAATTCACGGCAACAAAAAATGAAATTTGGTTACGAAAACTTGAAAAACCGGCTCAACCGAAGACGTATCAATCGTGTCACTATCATGGCCGGATGCCGCTTCTCATGAAGCTCGATGAAACTCAGCCCTTTACACTTAAAGTAGTCTCATGACGCCATCACGCAGCAACTGCCGCATCGACCATCCCGTTGGACGGTTGTGTCCATCGTCAGAGTGGCGCCAGGACCCAAAAGATCCATCCCGAGTGCGCCTTGCTGAACGCCTCGAGTTGCGCCGATGCAAATTGTTGCAGTCCGTAGCGGTCTTCACTCGGGAATGCACATCCTGTGCCCCCAGACTCCACTCGTCGATGAGAAGCCAATTGCCGCCCCACGATGAGATTTGGTCGCCATAGCGACGCACAGCTTGCATCACCTTGTTTCACGGTTCTGACCTTCGTAGCCCCAAATAAAGTATGGGTGCCCACTCGTGCCACACGTTAAAGTACTTAGGATAGCGCATGAAATCCTCCATAAACGGAGGACTCTGCTCCGTAAGCAACGGCGCCACAGTCAGCACGCAGTCGTTGCCAGTTGCACGGATCTCCGAGTACGCGCGCTCATAGTAAGCACGAAGAACATGCTGCTTCGTTGGGTGCTCTGGCTCGTTCAACAGACCAATGCCGAGGAACGAGGGGCAGAAACGGTATCGCGAAGCCAGGAACTTGGCTAGATAAACCGTGTTGTCCACATTCTCCGGGTACTGACTCCAGAATTTGACCCCGCTTTCCACTGCAGCGCTGTGGTCGCGCCCGTTCTGGGACCCTTTGGCCGCGTGGATGTCTACGATCACGGCCATGTCGTATTTCACACACCAATGGTTCACCAGTTCGTCCAAGCAGCGTAAGGAATGAGGAGCGAACACCGTCCAATCTTGCTTGTTCGGGAAGTCTGTGGGGTCGAAACCCATGATCCAGTAGCCCACAGGCACTCGCACCGTATTGAGACCAAACCTCTTCATCTCGGCGATGTCGTACTCGGTGATCCACGTACGTCGGTGCTCATCGAAGCGTCGAACACCTTCTTCATGACCTAGAAACTTCATCGTGGCGAACTCTCCTTGATTCTTGATCGCATCAGGCACGCCATGCCACAGACACGAGTCCCAAGTCATCCAGTGCTCAGCGACGAGCCAACCGCCGAGGTTGACACCGCGGCACGGGATCTCGCCGCGGCGCAGTCGCGCTTGGAGCGAGTCGGACGCTACGCAGGACATCTTAAAAGATCGGATGCTTAAATGCCGACGAGTTTCAAAGTGAGCTGAGAAATTGATTGAACTGCCAAGCCTGTTTTTGCATCGGGGACAAGCGACGGCAACGTGAGTTTACCCACGTGCGTCGGTAGGGACCAAAAGGTGTCTCAAGGTCAGACACAACGCCAGGTTAGCAACTAAATAAAGGTTGATACCATCGCAATAGAACTTACCGAGTGATGAAGTGGTTGATCGGTTTAGGAACTGCGGGTCCGAAGGTCTTTTGCATTTGCAAGAATAGCGCGTTCGCAATCTCCTCGTCAGTGAACGAAGCCGAAACGGCGCTCGCATTATCACCGATAAGGACACCTTCCAGGATAGGCACCCCTTTGGCGAGGTGGTGGCTGAACACTAACGGGAAGAAAATGCGGCGACCATCGCTCGTGTTCTTTTGCTGAATCTGGCCCATGAATGTAGCGTGCTTGGGCCAGAAGACCTCGGGGAATTGCACCAGCACCTTCATATACTGGCCCACCTTCGACCGCTTGAGAGCTTCGGTTTTGACGGCGGGCAACTCCGGCTGGAAGTGCAGTTTGCCGCTCTGAAGGTGGCCCAGTGAAGTGGTAACAACGACGCGGTCGGCCATCACGCGGCGTCCGTCGGTGCACTCGATGAGCACTCCATCTGGACTTTCATAGTTAATTGACGTTACCGACACGTTCGTGTGAATAACGTCACGGATCGGATCAGCGAGGTGCTCAATGAAACCTGACGGGACGATGCAATGAGCACCAGGGTCGTCGCCCATAAGGTCGGTACCGATAAATATGTCGAGGTTGAGGTCGTCAGTGGTGAGACCGAACCAAGCCTCCATTAACCGAAGGAACAGGTCGATTTTCTTTCGCGCCTTGCCATCGGTCACGGCCTCGACCAGCTCTTGGTCAGAGACGAGAAGGTGCTCCATAACGGCAGACAATGTCTTCTCTCGGTGATCATCACCCAGGTCCGACCTTACCAGCGTCTGAAGCTTGCGCATTAGTAGATCTTGAAGGTCCCACGCGTCCTTCGCGTGCTGCTCGCTCAATTGGTGACTGTCATTGAAAAGCAGGAAGCTCGAGCACGAGCCAGGATGAAGCCATGGATTCCTCGAGCTGATCTCTTTGAATGAGATGCCGAATTGCTTGGCAAGCGCGGCGAACGGGCTGCCCTCCGTTCCATGGATCCAGGCGGCCCCCACCTCCACGTTCACAGTGAGCGAGTCGCTGAAGGACTTCGTTTGCACGCGCCCGCCAATGCGGGACTGTGCCTCCAGTACGCACACGTCGCTTGAATCGAAGTGACCCGATGAAAGGAGTTTGTTTGCGGCACCTACGCCGGCAAGCCCGGCGCCGATCGCTACCACGCGATAGTTATTATCGAGTGTGGTCTTTGTCGTTTCAAGAGTGAGGTTGGGGAATTTTGTTGCTTGGCAATTTGCAGAGTGAGCTTCGCTTTGCTATCATAACTTTGGGTTTCCGGACGATCGTTCGAAGTCCCACAGCATGTGTTACACAAGTTGTGTAACACAACGATCAAGATGACGAGCTCGATGTCACGGACAACGCACGTCATGTGGCGAAATCGAGGCCTCTCTTCACATCTTGAAGTGCATTTTGACCGAGCACCCAGCCTCTGTGTTTGCAAGCGACTACCGTACAAAGTCTCCGTCACGTTCCTTAGTCGGCCGCTGCAGTTTCCGAACGATGAACATGATACCACCTCGCATTGCATGATGCCGCGAAACATCATCAAAATGGTACGGCTTTCGCCATGAGCCCCGCCAAAGTGTTTCCTTACGAAAGCACGAGCAGTTAAAGCTTACGTTACGCAAAGATGACCACCGGATACTTCTATCGTCAACAAGTCCGTGACATCAACCGTCGCCCCCCCCCATTCTACTTGTAGTACATGTATTAATACCTTTAACAGAGTTAAAAAGGAGTACAGTAGAAGTTCCACCGGGAAGGCTACAGCGGGAAAAATACGATCGACGCGAGCATTTCCCTTAACATAAGCTGCCGAAACTGGCGCGCCATCTTTTTCCTTCTACATGTACACTTCACTTCACTTTGAATATATTACAACTTAAAAAAAGCAGTTATTAAAACTTAACATGCTTCGTTCTTCAACTGTTCACCAATGCAGACTTAGCCCAGAATTGACGCTGCAGCTCTTACACCTGCATGGTGAAGTAAACAATCATTAGATCTCAAACAAAACACTTCGTGCAGACGACTAGTACGCACCGGAGAGGTACGCCGCTTGCAGTTCGCCCTGGTACTTGTAGTCCGTGGCCTCACCGGCGAACAGCACGGTTCGCCACAGTCTGGCGTAGGATCGCTGGGTCCTCATCCGTACTGTCCACTGTAAGAGAGCTGTAAGCACCAATCGACCACGGATCCTGATCCCATCTGCAGCTCAACCAAGAGGGTAGTGTTAGAAATCACAGAGCCACACGCAGATAAAGACACACCTTACCTTGTAATGAAGTGGTCCACTGGACCTGGGATGCTCGGACCAAACGTGTCTTGCAGCTGTAGAAAAAGCGCATGCGCAATCTCCTCGTCCGTAAATGTAGCAGAGACTTTGCTGGCGTTCTCGCCGACCAAAACTCCTTCGATGATAGGCACACCCTTCGCAAAATGATAGTTAAAAACTACCGGAAAGTAGATACGGCGATCCGAGTCGACTTCATCAGCCGACGATTCCTTGATCTGTGCGATGAAAGTACAGTCCTCAGGCCAGAACACTTCCGGGAACTGTACGAGGATCTTCATGTATTGACCCATCTTGGAGCGCTCGATGGCGCCAAGTTTTGGTGCCGGCAGCTCGGGCTGGAAGTGCAGCTTGCCGGACTTTAGGAGCCCGAGCGATGAAGTCACAACCACGTGGTCAGCCGACACACAATTGCCATCACTGCACTTGATCACAACGCCGTGTGCACCTTCATAGTTGATGGAGGTGACGACCACGTTCGTGTGGATCGAGTCCTTCACAGGCTCCACCAAGTGGTCAATGAAGCGCTCCATTCCTTCAGGAACGATGCAATGAGCACCAGCGTCATCACTGTGTGTATCAATACCGCAAAATTTAGTTAGCATTAAAAGAAGCAATAAAAAATAAAAATTGTGCACATACCCGATCAGTTCAATGTCGATGAACTCGTCGAGCTGCACTTCGTCGCCATCCACCCCCATCCAGAGCTCAATCAACTTCAGACATATCTCCAATCTCGCGCGTGCATTCGGGGCCTTCATCACGTTACGGAGTTCCTCGTGCGACTCGATAAGGTGGCCGACGATACCCCAAAGTGCCTTCTCCTGGTGATCAGTAGCGTCCGGCGACGTTGCCAGCGCCTGCAGCTTGTGCATAAGAAGATCTTGCCACTTCCACGTCTCGTCGACTTGTTCTTGCGGTAGTTGCTCGTTGCCGTCGAAGAAAATAAAGTTCTTGCACGCACCAGGATGCAGCCACGGATTCCGCGGAGCGACCTCTTTAAGCGCGATGCCAAATTTTGTCGCCATATCGGAGAACGGGTTGCCTTCGGTGCCGTGGATCTACGCGGTGCCCACCTCCACATTGACAGGCAAAGAATCACTGAATGGCTGCGTCTTGATACGCCCACCGATGCGCGACTGCGCTTCAAGCACACAAATGTCGTTGGCTGCGAATTTGGGTGGAAATTTTGAGTCGGTACTTTTATATTTTGAATCGGATACTTGCGAAATTATATGCTCGATCGGACTTATGAGTTGGTTACCCTGGTTACTAGTAACCTGCTCAACCGGCAAAAGTGACCAACATAGTTCGAAAAAGAGGGTAGAACCGGCAAAAGTGACCAACATAGTTCGAAAAAGAGGGTAGTACGGTATATTCGTTTTCAATCGGCTAGTTCTGAATGTTGGGGTTGGTAACCTCCTGGTTACTAGTAATGTAACGGGGTACGTAGCCCTAAGTGTACCCTGGTTACATGAAGTGTGACACTTCACACTTCAGGAGTATGACACGTCATACTCCGAGATATTTGGTACAAGGTACCAAGGTCGTTCAAAGCCAACCATTGGTTAAATGACATTGCATTTCTATAGGTAACTAACAGTTTGTATTAAACCCAAACTTAACCTACCTATAAATATACTCAGTTTACAATCTACCTTATTTGGGTCACTTCGCTCTCTTTAATAAAAGAGGGGACCTGTGAACTGCCGTTCACTGAGAGTTTGTATACTCTCGGAAGATAACTTCCTCTTGCGCAAGGTGCTGTGTGACCCCGTCACAAGTAACCTGCTGAACCTGCAAAAGTGGCCGATCCAAAACAAAAAAACCGTCAGTAAAATCATTCTGAAGCGGTTAGTTGTGCATTTTTGAGCGGGCACTTATGTATTCTGATCTGGGTTCCTCATGTAGTGACGACTAACCTGTTGAACCAGCAAAACGACCGATTATAAAAGCAAATGCAGTCAGTAAAAAACAATTCAACCTACCAGTTGTGCAAGTTTAGTCGGTTTACCTTCGGTATCGTGCTGGACCCCTCCTGAACTGTCGGATCTGCAACGCCGGCGAACATTAATGCAAACAAGGCAGAAAAAACATTTCTAAGCTCTCAGTTGCGCAAGTTTGTATACCTTCGTCGGACCGCTAGACGATCTGAAATTTGTTGAACGTGTAAAAATAATGTGGCCGATCAAAACGTCAGATTAAGTCAATACCAAGGAAGTAGAGAAAATCACCACGAACCTTTAAATGTGGCGGCTGGTAGCCATGGTAATGTCCGTCACGAGCTCATCCACTTCAACGTCATGACTATCAGCATCGGTAAACGTGATCGTCCAAGTAACTGGCTTATTGTCAGCCTGAACGGAGGTCACTACACCACTGAAGCAGCTGATCTGGAACTCCTTTGGTGATTCAGGTAACGACGTTTTAAAGCGATGCAAGGCTTTGTATCCGATAGCCTCGCTTGGGTATTTTTCCAGATGTCGTTTCAGCCGAGCCGTCGGTCCAGTCGAACGTGTGTCGTCACCTTCAGCAGCTTCGAGACTATCTCGAACAAGGCAGCTGAGCTCCTTGCGTGGCCGTCCAGGGCGACGGCGGTGGGGGATTCCAGCTTGAATTTCGTCAATATTTAGGTGTTGCTTGATAGCCGCTGCTGCCAGTACATGCGAGCACACCCAACCCGACATGACGTAAGCCTTGCACTCACAGGAATATTTTTTACGGAAGAGTTGAGCCGTGTCGCTGTTCACCTTTGGCAAAGCTCGCAGCTTTTCAAACTTGATCTTGGCGCTTACACGGACACGATATAGTGATTGGTCTTGTGCCTTGTCGTACCTTCAAGCAAAATCTCAGTTTGTAAAAGTTTCCGTACTAGAAGTAGAACTTAAAAGCTTGAGTACCTTTTTGTCAGAGCTTTGGTTACACGCTGATCAAAATGATCCTTTCGGTTGATGTAGAAAGTCTGAAGACATTGTGTTTGCACAACGTAGAACTTCGTGGTATCCAGTGTAATTGCTTTGGCCTTCGTAAGCTGTGAGTGAAGCAAAGGTGCTTCAGCAAAAGGCCGTATTTCCTCTGGTGCCCTGTGCGCACAGCAGAAATGAAGAATTTGGCCCATCGAGAACTCCAAGAAGTAGACCATAGCGGCACGAAGGTAAAGGCCCATATGAGCCCTTATACTCTTGTGAAATGACTCAATTCCCTGTTGCTGTGGCAGGGATCCAGGTAGTGTCGAAGCTCCAACGAACCAGGAATCAAATGGAGCCGTCAGATAGGTGTCTGTGAACCAATCGGCATACCGGGCTTCTCCTTTGTTGCGCCATTTTGTCATCAGCTTTGCCGAAAGAGCTTTAAAGTGCTTGTAACTTGTGCATTTGTAAAGGCTGTTGATGTCTGTTTTCACAACAGACACAAGAAATTCTTTATCTGATAGCATGCTCTTCTTTTTGGTGGCGAGGCACTTCCGGCTTACATGAGGCCAACACGTGACAAAGACCATCTCGGGCCATGCTTTTCCAAGAGCTGCTGCAATGCAGACAGCATGGTCTGCGACCCCCACGGTCGGCTTTAACTCCATACCCAGGCAGTTATAGACGCAGCGATTCACAGACTCGAATAACGCTTCATACGCCAACTCGCACTCCGTACGAACAAATCCAAACGCACAGGGGTAAAATCGCTGGTGGAACTGGCGTTCCTTTTCATCGTAAATCACACCAACTACACCGAGATTAATCAAAGTCCAACCAGCGTCTGTTAACCGATAAGTGCCGTCGCAAGAGATCGAAACTAGGTCTCCGTAAGCAGCAGCCGTAAGAAAATTACGCAAAAGCTCCTTGCAGCTCAGGACCATACCAAAAGAAGCCTATTTTGTTTTGTTCACCTCCTTGGACTCAAAAACCTGAAGTACCACAAGTTCTCGTTCGCCAACAGCGTCAAATTCGTCTTTTGTCGTGCACAATCGTGACGCTGCCCATTCGAACAGCTCGGTGTGTGTGCCCAGTTGTTTCCATTTGCCCGTGAGCTGCTTTTTTTCCATCCGGCTTTACGATTGCGGACTTGGCCGATATCAGGCAGCAGTTTTTCCTTTTCACTGTCATCTCCATAAATGCGGGTCAACTGGTCAAGAGCGCCAAGTGGCGTCTGTCCACTTGCAAACATCAACTCAAGCTCTTTATCGAAGCACTTGTGAATACCCCTCGAGGCTTGAACTTCTTCTGCTCCTCCGTCGTGATCACCACAAAGTTCACACACGAACTCCATCTGATGCGGGCGAATGCGAACGAAAGCATTGCAATTCTCGTGGCTTTTACATCTGTAGGTTTTGGAATCACCATACATTGTCCGAGAATGACCAGCAATGACAAAATTGAACTCCAAATTCTTGCGAAATGAGTTGGCTTCATCGAAAGTACAGCACGTCTTCAGCAGTGACCACTTTCGGTTGGGAATGCCACGGCGAGACCGCTTTGGACGCTCTGCGTGACTATTGCCGATATCCTGAGCTGTGTCGTCTTCACGTGCAGTCTGCAGATCGTCGCTGTCGTGGTAGGTCTGAGCAAGAGCAAGACCAGTCAGATCCTGTTGCCTTTCTCCGAGCTGGCATTCTGTGAGGTGCGTGACTGGTGATGCTACTGCCGCTGGGGCGCTCGAGTCGTCGCTGCTTGAAGCGTCTTCGCCTCCTTCGCGCATTACATTGTCGCTAGCAGCAGCCAGCCGAGCGCGCTTTCTCATCTGCACCATTGTGGTTGTACTGGCGATTTGTAGACTGAAAGGCAACACATAAGAAAGGAGGAATGACATAATCATTCAAACCAACGCAAATGGTAACAACAGGTGGGGCGACATCAATATAATGCGGGCAAGAGTGATGGTCGTTGAAGTGCGACATGAACAGCAAGTGGTCCTCAAGTCCAGGAGACGGTCAACTTATCGTCGTACAGCTTCATACCGGCGAACATTAACTTGTGCCATCCACTCCTTCTTCTATTTACCGACGTACGCAAACCTACCTCCAGCTCTGTGCACGTAAACCAAGGTAGTCTTCTCAACTTGAAACTGTCACCAAACTCGCGCTACGCGCAGACCCAAAAACCCTTAGTTGCTCGCTGAGCTCGCTTCGACAAAACCCTAAGCCCGCTCCGGCTTCGCCTTCGCTTGTCCACTTGTACAACTGGGTTTAACCCCGCGTGCTACGCACACGGATCTTAAACGCCAGCAGGATGTTCATGTCGTGTAAACCAAGGTAGTCTTCTCCACTTGAAACTGTCACCAAACTCGCGCTACGCGCGGACCCAAAAACCCTTAGTTGCTCGCTGAGCTCGCTTCGACAAAACCCTAAGCCCGCTCCGGCTTCGCCTTCGCTTGTCCACTTGTACAACTGGGTTTAACCCCGCGTGCTACGCACACGGATCTTAAACGCCAGCAGGATGTTCATGTCGTGGCCTGCTACGGCTTCGCCTTCGCTCGTAATTCGCTGCTCGCGGTGGTCTTCTTCACATGAAGCTGTCACCATACTCGCGCTTCGTATCCTAGGTTACACGTGAGGGGTACAGGGATATCTCTAGAATTAAAAAATATATAAATATATATCACATATTGCAAACATAGCCATAACTGACAAGTAAAGATTCAAAAGTGCCCGATTGGTTACTTATTTTTTTCAGTGTCCGATTCAAAATACAAAAGTACCCTTGTCAAAATTAAGTCTCTGCGAATTTGTTGGAAGCCAGCAGCGCGTTGGCAGCACTTACACCAGCCATTCCAGCGCCAATGACCACCACGCGGTACGATCGCTCCAGTGCAATTGCAGACTTGACGGCCATGGCGAACTGGCGGGGGTTTGTGGTGCCCTTCAAATGCGAATGACACTGTGCCATTGACGGAATAAGCTTAATAAAGCCCCTTTCTCTAATAATTGTAGGTCTGATCCATAGGTCTGATCCTTACAAATCTCTTGATCATATTCGTGAAAATATCAGAAGCCTAAAATGTTTCTGATATTTTGAGGTAGTCGAAATACTTTTTAATTTAGGCGGTTTAATTCATAATTAGTACTATTATTTTAATACACATTCAAGTAGTATTATCACACAATAGTACTACTTGATTATTAGAATTATTTTAGTTAAAATAAATGAAACGCAAAAAATACAGTATTCATTAAAGTATTCTACTAGTTTTGTCAATCCATCCAACGTACCGGTCACCAAAATGCCAGCCAAGCACGCCTTCGTGGCGCTGCAGGACCGCTTCGTGAGCTCACTGGTGATTGCCTGCTGCCCCACCATGGACTTAGTGGCCGTATTGACACTCGACCACCATCTCCTCGTTCATGTACGTCTCCATCATCCTCCTTCTTTCACTAAAAAGTAACCTTACTTGTTCTTTTCACGGTAGCGCACAACGTCATGGCAGAAACTGCTGCACGTCAAACCATCAGACGTCGGACTGGAAATGGTGACACTGGCGTGGAAACCTGACGGTCTTCAACTCGCAGTTGGCTGTGACGAAGGAGATGTGGCAATTTTTGAGATCGAATCGGGAGAAATAATACCGGAAAGACGGAGCAATTTACGTCACGAAATCTGCATCACCGCGATGCACTGGGCCCAGCTTAGCGAGGTAGGAGCTTCAGTGTGTACTTCTAACAACAAACGACGGCGTCATAAGCGCTACGGGGCATTGGGTGAACATTGGAATGCTCCAGGTTTGATTTCCCAGTCGAAACTTCAGTTTCAGCATCGGTCAAGTAGATTTTTAAGAGGTTTCAAAGAAGAAGGCCTCGTTGATGACTCGGTGCTACTTACTGGCGATGAACGAGGATTTATCGCACTGTGGTGGATGGGAAGAGTGTTGCTGACTCGTATTGACGTGAGTAAACATTTTACGGAGGAAGAGTTTGAGACGATGGAGTCGATGGGCTATGAACGTGGCGATACCAGTGGCTTCCGGATTGAGCGAGCAGACCTTGCGCCGGATTTTTCTCTTCTTTTCGTTCTGGTTGTTTTCTCTAGTAAGAAAAGTAGCCACAGTGTTGACAACACAATTAAAGTGCAGGAAGACACGAAGGTGCATCGGCTACTGACTTTGGATATGACAACTGTTCAGTACATCCATGAGGACGTGACTTTGGTGGCGAACACTATCGACCGCGCACACGAGATACTTGATCGGATTGCTACAACTGGCAGACAAATGACGACGGAATGGAAGAATGCTACTCGTATTTTTGAACTGAAGATGGGACTCATCGGGTCACTGTACGAGAAGTACGCGTGCGAGGATCCACCGCAAGTAGACATGCTGTCGGTGGTAGTGACTGGCATTACAGCACCTGCGTTGGCCCAGTACTTTGCTCAAGATATCGAGGAAATGGTACGTTCATTCTCTATGGTAAGCTAGCGAAGTATTGACAATGTGTGTGTCGCTGCATCGTGCTGCTAGAGCGTACATCGCATGCAGAAGGCCTTGTTCAGTGGATGCGACACGCTTCGAGCACTCGTTGACGAAAAACTGAAGCCAGACTTGGTCAGCTTTTTATTTCTCGTGTCGGAGTTACGTGGCCATGTCAAGTGGAATCCCCAGACTTACTCAAAGACAATGGGGATCACAGTAGCGGTCCTCGACGAGCTTGTCAAAACAACGCAAGATACTCTCGTGGCTATGGAGACACTTACGTTGGCGCTACACGAGACTCGTCAGGACTTTTCGTTATTTTTCCAGTGGATCCTCGAACGTATACGCATTCATTCGAACTCATCTCGATCTGGAGGGGCAATCGGTCGGGACGCCGGTGACGCTAAAGGCACAAAGTCGCTTCTGAACTTGCGAAGACTATGCGATTTCTTACAGCACGCAGCAGAAGTTGCCAAGCAGTTCAAAAAGCAGCAACCGGGCCACAATATTTACCGAGTTGAGACTACTTTCGGGAATCCAGTGTCGCATCAACTTACTATGGGGCCAGGTTTGTTGAATGAGAGCTCGAAGAATCAGTCGGAAGGCTGTCTTGATCTCATTAAGAGCCTGCAAGAAAGGTGGACGGCCATACTCGACGCAGTAGGTGGAACGCTGGCACAGTCCATTGGGCGTAAAGAAAGTGGGTGTTTCACTGTCGGCGATAGCGTGGAGGAGTGCCATGTTCGCTTTCGACAACTTGTTAACACGAAGAGGTCAGAGGATATTGATGCTATTGGCGTTCAAAGCGAGGATGAGGACAGCGATGAGGCGGTTGATTGGGATGCCTTGAAACACTTTGGATCAGTTCAAGATGGTCCTGCCAATTGTAGTATGATACTGATTGGGTTTCGATTACAATCGGGTGTTCTACGGCTGCTGCGCACATGCCAAGACACGGATTCTACACAGCTACGACGAGATCATACCTCTCGTTTGCATTGGGAGGCTGCAACTGTGAACTTTTCACACGAATCTTCTTCAAGTCCACTAATCTGTCAGGGTTTCGACTTTTACGGGGATATGTCAACGAATAAAGTCGAACAACTTGCGTTCGTACTGGGTCGTGCTGGGGAAGGCCAAGTGCACCAAGGTACTCGCTGTCGTATCACATAAACTTAACTGTGTTGTCGACTGAACTGACAATTTTCTGATGTAGAATGGCTTTACCTCCAGCAGTACGACCGCATTGAGTTCACAAAGCTTAACCCTTCCACCTCGTTCGAGGTAAACACGCTTTTTCTGATGTTCGAATGGGGATGATGTACTGATGTAATCCGCAAATGCTTGTTGTTGTCTCCAGGCGGCCGTAGCTGACCCGATCCACACCTTCAGACTGGATCAACTCCGTGGAAGAGTGATCGCCTCGTTACCAACAGCCAACCACGCCAGCAAAAACGCAACGTCCGTCATAGCGACTGCTTCTCGAGGAGTTTTGTGCGTCGTCATCCCACCCAGTCGCTTGAGTGTCTACGATGCAGAAGACAGTGAAGACGAGGAAGACGGCGACGACGACGACGACGATTAGATTTAAAAGCATCTTACAGAAATCTCTGAAGCCCTCAGTTTGTCACTCTCGGCTTCTGTGTTCGACGTGATGCAGTACGTTGGATGTCGAATCCTTCCCCGCTTAGTAGCTCGTCAACAAGCGCCGTCACGTCACTTTTGCGCATAGATAAATATCGTTCCGACGGTCGTCGCTGGTAGCCGCCAATATCTCGCATGGAGACACTGGACCTGTGACTATTGTGGAAAGCGTCCATCTTAGCAGCCCCCTCAGGTCGCAGTCGAAGTGTAGTCGTTTGGTCGGCTCCTGACGGATGTACAGTAGACAACGACGTGGCACTGTTCGGCCGTCGAGCAGCACGAGTAGCTGGGACGAACACTGTACCGGCGGTAAATGAACTCAGCTCACTTGGTAGCGGTCGAGTCGGCTCCACTACACCTGGTAGCAAAATAGTCCTTGATAGTCCTTTTTGAGGCGACGGGTTTGAGCGCCGTGCCAATTTTAGTGCGCGTTCATCGGAGACGTGTTCCAGCACTTGAACAGTTGTTTCTTCTCCCTCTATATCGACAGAACCAGGTTTCGTGTGAGTAGCCAACGCTGCTGTGGCTGCAGCTTGGACTATATTTCCCAAGGAGTATCCCGTTGGCGCCGCAAACGATGAGTGTTTCCTTTTAGGCATGGATGCTCCACTTACACTTGCTCGGATGGTGTCGTGATCACAACTACGGCGTGCAATATTGATCTCTGCCACCCGGTCTCTGTCTAAGGCTGTGAGGCAGATAGGATCGTTGTTTTGCCATCCAGGGACTATTTTCTGCTGTCGTGTGATCGACTGAATGATCAGCGATCGAATTTCGTCCATAACTCGCGGATATTGGGTCTCGAACTCGTCCAGACACTCGCGTGGCAGTAAATACGTCCCTGTAGCGCGCATCGCAAATAAATTGTATCGTGCTACGGTTTCCGTCAAAGTTTCCTTATACCCGAAAAATTCGCCTTCAAATATCTTCGCAATTGTGCCCTGATGATCCGCAAAAATAGGGTCCGCCGATGAATTACTTCTACCGCTTGTCATAGTGGCATGTGTGTTTGGTATTGGCGCGAAATGCCGCGTTTTCGCTATAACAGCGCCCGTCATGATGAAGTAGATTCCACTTACGGGGTTATCCTGGTAGATCAAAATGTCCCCCTCAAGAAAAAATTGCGGTACCAATCGTGGCAAAATTAATGTCAAAAACCATTTTGGCTTCTTGTCGAAAAACCGAATTTTCGACACGACGCCTCCGTTAAGTAGCAAAATGAGTTCGCTGCGTAAGGAATAACTGAGGGCATCAAATAGTGAGTTTTCGACAAAAAACGTTTTCTCAGCATCCACAAATCTCAAGTGTTCCTGACAAGCCACGATAAATTCGGACGACACTCCGCGTTCTTTGATATACGCATTCACTCGTTGGACCATCTCGTGCTCTCGATTCATTAAGCTTTTCGAGTTACTTGCCACTTCAATGACCGTACCCACCACATAGGCAAACAACGTAGTGCCTCCGATAAGAACAAGAATGCAGAAGCCCTTCTCAAAGTCATTCACAGGGTAGATATCGCCAAATCCGACAGTGGTCATTGTCGTAATTGCCCAGTAAATACTGGCAATATACTTGGAGAGAATGGACTCTGGGTCTTCAAAATTGAGATTTCGATTCCCCCACCACGCATCGTCTACAGCACGATCGGCTGAAATGTAGTACCAGAAGCAGCCTACGTAATGGGCAATGATCATCACTGGGGCGAGTAATTTCAAGAGTCGAACGGTATCAACGTTAATATCAAACTCGGCCATCCATTGCGAGTTCATTTTGAGTAGCTTTGATAGTCGCATAAGTCGAAGCAGTTTGATAAGTTTAAGAGTACGAATGAGACGCAAGGACCGAAAGATGTTGCCTGTCGCCGCCGCCTCCACGAGGAAGTCGAAAGGGATTGTAGACGCGATATCGACGAAAAACGTGGTTTTCAGATAATGCCGACGAATTTCGTAGCGATCGACTATTTCAACTCCCGTGTCGTCGACGTATGTGGTGCAAAAGCTGAGAATGACGTCTATCACGAACAAAACGTCCGACATTCGATCAGTAGCGTAAAAGACGAGTACGTCCTGCACGTCGAAAGCGATTCGAAACGGCACCGTGATTGCCGTAATAGAAACCATGATACCCATTACAATATCCCAAGTAATTCTCAACTTGGAGTAGTGCCGAATTACCGACCAGTGTGTCACAACTTCATCACCAACAACGCTCATGTCCATTCGAGTAACAACGTCCGCTGGCATTGTGTGGGTATTTGCCGCTGAAATGGATTTGCGATGTCGTTTATGTAAATATGGCTCTCCTCCTCTTGATAAAGACTCTCGTCGGACCGCACGTATGGAACGTTGTCGTAGAAGAGCACGCTTTCCTCGTCTTGCGGACTCTTCGTATCGCTCTCCTAAAATTACAGCCAGATCTTCGAGATACTTGTGCGCTACGGGACATTTGTTAATCGCTTCGAGTAAATCAGTGCTGTACATTGAATACAACTCTGTCTTCGAGACAGAGCGGTACGTGTGGGTATATCGTCTCCGAGCGTTTACAAGATACTCAATGCCACAAATCTCGCCGGGTGAGAGAGACCCTACAACCAGATTAGATTGCACTGTTTCCACTGTGCCGGCAGTCAGGAAGTACAGTTCTTCCCACACGCTTTCCGCGTCGACAAGCACTTGACCTGGCCCCAAAACGATGGGTCGAAGTCGAGGTATTGCGAATACGAAAAACTCCACCGAAGTCATACCGAAAAACGGAAACTTTTTCACAAACGTCTCCATCGAGGCAGCTAGAATTTCGTACTGTAGACTTCTAGGAAATTGGTTCAGCAGGTAATTTTCATCAAACACGGTGCGATGACTCCAGTGAAATTCGAATTGCGAGATAACGCGTTGCCGAAGACGACGTGGGATACTGCGTTTGATCAGAAACTCTTTGGTGTCTTGGAGTTTTTGCTTCAACATGATGCCACGAGGATTGTAGTTTTCGGTGAGCATTTGAATGTTTGCGATGATCATACCAACGCAAATCGAGCCGAGACAAGCCACGAAAATCGAGTACAGCCGCTCTCCATCGGTGACCCCATAGATATCTCCATAACCCACGGACATCATTGTGTTTGACACCCAATAGAAGCTAACGAGATATGGGTTTTTGAAGCCTTCTGGCTCGATATTCGTGACCCAATTCTTTCCTGAAGGATCCCAAGTGTAGAACATATACCACCCACAAGCCACTAGATGGATGATGAAGATGATCGTGAGTAAACTTTTGATTGTTTGCAGCACGTGCGCGTTGAGCGCATCCACCTGAACTGCTTCCATGGTCCGTTTTAATCGTAATAATCGCATGAGTTTTAGCAGTCGAAACAATCGAAACACGCGGATGAGCTTTAGTGTGAGCAGTGAAGATGACGCGGTGGTTACCACCTGCAAAAATTGATCTAGAGGAACTGTCGATGCCACATCGAAAAGGAACCAACTGCGAAGATAGCGTGCCCGAATTCTGCGTAGTTCATAAACCAAGATGTCTTCGTCGTAATAGCCGGTAAAGAAATTGAATATTACATCCACGGCGAAGCTGCTATCGAAGCAATAGTTCAGAACTTGTTCCCACCCCTAGAAACGCAGCACAATATGATTTAGGATACACATCATAAATGCATTTTAGAAAAAAAAAATCTTACCGCAAGCTCGATACCGAAGCCAATTCGATAGGGTATAAGGACGACGCTATAAGCAATAATGAACCCAATCCAGAGATCCCATCTTACTTTCCACGTGGCGCGAGGCTGGATAAACCACCGACTGTACTTTACTTTTTCCGTCTGCACTACCGGTACGAGGTCATTTCGTCGAGCTCGTCGTGGTGCGGTAAATAACGTTGAATCCGGTAATGATTTCCGCTGATGCAGCTTCCGTTTTCGCGGTAATCCTTTGACGACGGAGATCGCGTTGCCATGGGCGAAACTTGCCATTGTAGCTGCTCGATGGAAAGTGTGTGAGCCAAACGAGGATTTTCTTTGTGGACTGCTGGTGTCTGTTGATGATGTTGTACCAGTACGTGAGCCTTCGATACTCGATCGTGTAGGTGAGTTTGCAAGCGGACCCAGCTGCTCCGTCGCAGAGTCTTGGACTTTCTTTTGCCAGGGATGGATCAATGTGCGTGTCATGACCGAGGGTCCGCCCTTGAACTTGTCTAGCTGGCGGCACGCCAAGACCCTCTCACGACACAATCAAACAGCATACAGCAGTCCAAGATACCAGCATCCACTGATACGTTCGATCACGTGCTGCCCACGCCTCGTCCGTCTGCCAACTTGAGCGCAACGGGATGCAGGTAAATGGAAAGACAGACCTTCGGTGGGCTGTTGCTCAGGAAAGACCTGGCAAATGTTCGTTTCGTGTTGCAAGCGTGGCAAGTTTAGACCCCAGCAATCCGCCACTATTTTTACCATAGTTTTTGTCATCCTACCCACAGCTAAAAAAGTGAGCAAAACACACTTTGTCAATGTGAAAAAGTGAGTGAGTATTGTCGTTCTCAGTGTCATCGCATGACTCATTTTCTTCCTCTCTAAAAAGGCATCTTCATACCCATATTCTGAGCCATCTTGGCCATGTCGCCTAGTGCGCTGGGGTCCATTCCTTGCATCTGCTTCATCATCCGCATCATGTTCTGCGGACCGCCCATCTGCGCCATCATCTTAGGGTCCATGACCTTCGAGAGTTGTTGCATGACCGCGTTCGGGTTGCGGGCCATTTGCTTGCCGAGTGCGGCGTCGCCCGTCTTCATGAGGCCACTCTTGCCCATACGACTCACAACAGTCGCAAACTGCTTGTGACACTTAAGCAGAAACTCTACCTCATACAACTGACAACCTGAGCCACGCGCCACTCGCGTCTGGCGCGACTCAGACAGCGGTACAGCACCATCGAGCTCGGCATCCGTCATACTGTCCATCATAAAGAGGAATCGTCGGAGTCGCTTAGAGGCCTCTTCCTCTCCTCCTCCCATGTTCATCATCTCACTCATGCCCTGTGGTAAGCCAGGGATCATAGACATGACTTTGCTAAGCGGTCCCATCTTCATCACACTCTGGAACTGCTTGTACATGTCCCGCAGAGTGAAGACTCCTTTCTGGAACTTCTCGACCATTTCTTCTTGGTTGTCGAGCATGCCACTGGTCTTGACCTCTTCCATGAGTCCACGGATGTCTCCCATACCCATAAGACGACTCACAAAGCTCTGTGCGTTGAACGACTCAAAGTCTGCGAAGTGTTCTCCCGTACCATAGAAAATAATAGGCGAGCCTGTAGCAGCGACAGCACTGAGTGCACCGCCGCCCTTAGCGTGACCATCTAGCTTGGTAATGATCACACTACCGACATCCACCGTCTCACGGAAGGCGCTGGCCTGGTCGAACACGGCCTGGCCGATAGTGGAGTCCATTACGAACACGACGTCATCGGGCTGTACGGCAGCTGATACCTCTCTCATCTCGGCAAACAGATCAGTCTCTTGTTTGTGACGACCACTGGTATCCACGAGGATGAGCTCGTAGTTCTCAGCTCTGAACTGAGCCACACCTTCCTCTGCGATGCGGACCGGGTCGGCCTCTGTGTAGCTACCGTAGAAAGGGATGCGTAGTTTGGTGGAATTCTGCTTGAGCTGGTCAAACGCACCGGCACGGAAAGTATCGGCACAGACCATACAGGTTTTCCAGCCTTTGCGCTGGTAAAAGTGCGCGAACTTGGCGATACTTGTGGTCTTACCGCTTCCCTGAAGTCCGACGAACATGATAACGTTGCTTTGGCCCTTTTTCATCTTGTAAGGCTGCGCCTCAGGCTCCAGCATCTGCACGATTTGGTCCACTACCGACTTCTGGATGAGGCGACGGCGATTCACGCCCGAGCTCGCGTCCTCGAGGTTCACGGCCAGCTTGACATTGTCTCGTAGTTGGCGCACGAGTTTCACCTGCACGTCTGACTCGAGCAGCGCGCCGCAGATTTCCTTAAGCAGCGCGTTGAACACCTCGTCATCCACTACAGTCGTGCGGTTAAGTTTGGCCAGCGCCCCCTGTAGCTTCGATCCCAGCTCCGCTAACACCATGGTCGCCCCTGCTCTGCCTTCTTGTTGTCAAGAGGTACTTTCACTTGTATTTTGTATCGATCAGGACGGGTTTGTTAATATTAGATAGTGTATGCTTGTTGCCAAGTGAACCCGCAGCCCATTGTGAGCCCGCGGGTTTAGAAAATTACTTACCGGTACCGTACCGGTAGGTGATCTTCTAAACTGCGTCAACTGACCTTCATTCTTCAATTTGCGAAGTGGATGAGCAAGTGGGTGCGCTCGTTTCTGTCGCTTCCTGTGCGTACACGCTTCCTGCCCCCGTCCGCATCCAGTAGGAGCTCTCCAGCTTTTGTTTCCGCCTTCGCGTCCAGCAACATGTCCAGCAGCAATGACGTCGTGAAACTCTCTAATGAGGAGTGGAAGCAGCGTCTGACACCCATGCAGTTCCAGGTGCTGCGTCTCAAAGGCACGGAACGCGCAGGCACTGGAGAGTACAACAAGAACAAGGAAACTGGAGTGTATGTATGTGCCGGCTGCAAGACGCCTGTGTACACATCCACCACCAAATTTGATTCGGGGTGTGGCTGGCCTGCGTTCTACGACGCCATTCCCGGCGCTATCAAGGTGCGTTGCAGTTTGTGGACTTTAGAGAAAAGTAAAGTGGCTTATTCTGATGTGAGCGCTTAATTGGGTGCTGTAGGCTGTGCCTGATGCCGATGGACGTCGCACAGAGATTATGTGTGCCAAATGTGACGGGTGAGTAGAAATAGATGGTGCTTTTGGCCATAGTTTTAAGTGACGAGTTGTGTTGACGTTTTGATGCAGTCATATGGGTCACGTGTTTAAGGGCGAAGGCTTCAAGACTCCTACCGACGAGCGTCACTGTGTCAACAGTGTGTCGCTCGTGTTCCACGCCAGTGAAGTTCCTCCTCAGTAAGAGATCAGGAAACTTACGGGCTTGGTTACGTGTTGCTAGCTGGTTGTACGAGCTTGGAAGTAAAGTAGTGGCTAGCAGGGTTGAGTTCGTAATGATAGCAAAGCATAACACACTCCAAAGTAAAGTAAACGAATCGGTATTGGGTAAGATCTCTACTATAGCAAACTGTCGTCTTCTTGGTCACTGGAGTCGCCGAAGCAGCTGTCTGCAGTGAGATGCTCGAGCTCTGCTGGATGCAAAACGTAGCGTTGCTTCCGTGCGGGTGTTGTGGGTAGTAACCAGTCTCTTGTGGTGTCTCCAAACACGTCATTAAAGTTTTTCCGCCATCCTTGATTGAACGGGAAAGCACGGCCGTACTGGTGGCACTCGATCGTGGTGGCTCCGTGCACCAGGAGGTACGAGTGAACTGCTATGAATCCCAACAAACTGATAGCCAACGCACCGCCCAATACGAACCCGACAACTGCCATGGCAGAGAAGTTGGACGCTCCACGAGGTGCGTCTTCACTGAAGAGTGCCGCTTGAAAAGGCCCCGATAGCGCCCTCACACACATTGACAGTGCTAAGAACGCGTACACGACGAAATGAAAGAAGAATTTGTAGTTGCCTTCGCCGACGCAATTCGCGACCCATGGGCAGTGGTGATCTGCCCTCCATACATGCGACGTGGAATCAATACCAGGATGCAGAGAGGGACTAAAAAAGGATGATACTCACCCATTTTCAGCACACAACGATTACAGAAGCTGCAGTGGTGTGCTCGGAAAGGTTTGAGCAGTTTGCACCTCCGACAGGTGTTTATTATCGGTGGACTTTTGCTTCCTGCTTCCATCACTTGTTGCATGGCGTCTTTGATGTGTTGAACAACTGTAGGCGTGACATATCCAGGGTCTGCAAATTCCAGCAGCATCAGCTCAGAGTCACCTCTCTCTCATCTTTTGTTGCCACATCCGTACCTGTGAACACCACCTTATAATACGCCACCAGCATGCATCCAACCACAAAGTGGAAGATTATTGCTTCCAGTATCCGCAGCGGTACGAAGAACCCCACCGACCTCTGGAACTCTTTTACCCAGTGCTCCGTCATAAACACATAGTATTCCAACGTTATGATCGCTGCTACCATCAACACAGGCAGCACTGACACCGAACGAAGCAGCGCACTACACAACACACCGTCGTTAGCGTCCGTCTATATTAGCACACCTGCAGGGCTACGCACTTGTCGTGAACACGCAGCATTCGCTCTTTCGATATCGTCGTAGCCTGTGTTCCAGACTGGTTGAACCTGTCATAGATCATACACGTGGCAAGCCAGGCGCCGACGTCGGACGTTATTACCGTATTAGCTTTCGAGCATTAGCGATCCCCCGCAACGGCCATGGGGAACACCGTGACGCTGCACAGCGCGTGCGAGTATGGGGACCTAGCGGAGGTGCATCGTCTGCTCGAGACAGCGACAGCCGAGGAGCTCGAAGCCACGGACGACAGCGGACGCACACCATTGCTCCTGGCCGTCGCCAGCTTGAAGCATCTGCGCGAGCATCACGAGCTGGTGGACGACTTCGACGACCTGCATGGATTTGGGGACAGTGACGAGGAAATAGAGACCACCGCTCGAACTCAAGAACATAATGTGGCTGAAAGTAGCAACAGCGAGACCGAGGAGGCCGTGAATGAGGTCAGAGATGACGCAGATCTGGAGCTCATGCCTAAAGAAGCCGAGATCCTGCATCTGCTGCTGCAGCGGAGAGTTAACGTGGATCATAAGGATGAGAACGGTTGGACAGCGCTACACCACGCGTGCTACGTGCAGAACGCAGTGGCCATCAAGATGCTGATCCATGCAGGGGCGAAACCAATGAGAGAAAGTTACGGCTTGTTACCGCAGGATTTACTACAAAGAGGACACATGTCTGAGTGGGTCGCTCAAGCACAGGAGCTGAAAGAAGCTCTGGACCAGATCACAAACAAGACCGCCTACGCGATCAAACTCCTGGCATTTCGACCAAGCGGAATAGTGCAGCTGGATATGGGCGGACAGGTCGAGAAAGGGTCGTTTGTTACATGTAAGGACATTGATGTTATCAGATTGAAGAGGTTATTGCTAATTTGAAGCTTTTTTTTGGTATGCAGTGGAGTACGACGTACCGGAGAGGCATTCTGTGAAAGATTATATTCAGGTGCTCATTTCGGAAGAAGATTCGGCGGAGATTGAGACAGGGTCGTATCATTATGTACCCGTAGGAGCACACGGCCAACTTACTATTAGCACCAAGGATATTCCACCAGCGAGTACAGTTCGTTTCGTGTACGTGAAGAGCGACATCAACACAATGTCCCGAGAAGTGGTCGCCAGTGGCTGCAATGCGGTGGTACAGGCTTCGGTGGGCGAGATTTTCCAGTACGAATTGTTCCTATATGAACGTGTGGTTGAGGTGGAAAGCATCCCGGAGTTTGAGTTTATAGACCAGCCTTTGATTGTGCTCAAGCGGATCGGTATTGTCGTTGGAGAGGACATTGACTGGGTCACTATCCGCCCAGACAATCATATCGTGGCAGTAAATGACATTCGCATCGATGCGATGGAGTTTGCAGAGGCTGTGCGTGTATTGCAGGAGAATAATGGGCGACAATGCACCAAGCTCTTGATGCAGAATTACTCGGCATGTGGTGACTTCATTCCAGAGAAAATTCTGGGGGTGGGAGTCGTTGGCAAGTACGCTTACTTGCATCCTGTTGACGAGGATCAAGATGGTGAGGGTGACGAACAGACATACGAAGAATGGGTGCGGAATAGCCAGAGTGAGAATGGCGATGGCAATGGTGAAAGTGACTTGAGCCTGGGTCCGGTTAGTGCACAATTGTCAGCGATCCAGATGTCGACAGATACAGCAGAGGCGCCAGCACCGCCTTTCGTATTGTCACCGATGCTTCATGCAGAGGAGCGTCGGGTGGTTAGCAAGGTGGTTGCTGATGAACGTGATGACCCAGCGACGATGGACAGGGAAGAAAAGATATCCGCTTCTTCAACTATAGAAACGGTCGTGCCGCTCCACAACTCGTTACAACTCGTAAGTGAAAATCTGTTGTGGGACTAAATTGTGTTGGTTGACTCACGTTTTGTTAATCGCTTGTGTTTGAAGGTGGCACAACTTCAACACGGTATTTCGATTGGTCATGCGAATAGATGAACACGTTACTGGCATGCCGCAGAAGATTGGTCGAGGGGAGTTTAATGAAGCAGTTGTAGACACAGTGAAGAGTGGTGCGTTAAGCTAACCGTTGTTCGAGAGTGAACCCCAAGTTGAGGGAGGTTTGCTCGACATTTTGAAGACACACGCGACAAGAGCTGGATCAGAAGAACGCGAAGAAAGTTAAAACCAACAGGTGATTTATTGGCATATGATACGATAATTATTTGTTGCGGACTTTGAAGTCAGCGGCGATGATACTTATCTTTTGTGAGACGTTGCTTAATTTAGTAGAGCGCGCAAGATTAGAGATAAGCCTGTTGCTGTATCTGACGTACATGTAAACAGGATTATTAGTGCATTTATGATTTCCTAAAATGGCAGACATTTGCTTGATTCCCATGTCCAGCATCTTGCGCTGATGAACATAACCTTTCTACGCCAGGAAATAGAGAAAGTGAAGGCATTAGTTGTTGTCTCTATCGCTGCAAGAAGCATGCATCAGTTTTTTTTCTCGTGAGGTCGAGTTTTCTTTGGCCGGTCCGAATGCTTGTACATAATGTGTAAATAGTATTTTCTAAACACCTAAGTGTTCAGTCAACAGAATGCAGCGTAGTTGGTGATCACAATGCACTGCTTGACGGCAGAGAACAAAAATCATGTTTTACATGTGTGAAACGAATGGCAACCAGGGCAAGCACGGTTCTCTTACAATAAACTTATATAATCGCAAAAAAAGCGGTAGGAAACGACATAAAGTCGGCTTCTACAGCCAACAAATTATACTTCCAAATTACACAATCAGACGTTTAGAAATTCTATATTCTTGAAAGCGAAGATGTCATGGAAAGCTTGTTTTTCAGTAATTCTGACAAATAGGGAACACTGTCAGGTTGAAACTCTCATGGCTTTTACAATGTGTCCATCCTGAGTACAAGATCCTTAAAATAGGACTGGGTTTTACGTGGGCGTCAGAAATCGTTGGGTTCTTATTATCGCCAAGTACAGTACCAGTATTATTAAAACGGAACTGTTGGAGGCCAGTATTATAGTTATGGAAGGGCGCAGTCATGGAAGTCCATGAGTTGTAAATAAAATTCATTACCTTCGGCTAGGTACAATCGATGGCCCCCAACCTCCAATCTCCTATTATCACTTGTCCCGTTTCCTGGTCAAATGGATGTAGGACTCGGCGGCGGCGACGCAGACGCGGCCACAGCGCGCGCAGCCAGACGTAGTACATCTCTACAGGGTCGGGGATCCGGCCTCTCGGACACGCTGGGTGTTGATGCAGCACTTTTGGAAGTCGACGAGCAGCCAAATGACGATAGCATTGAGCACAGTAGTAAAAAAGATGACAGCGGCACTGATCCCGTTAGCCAGGACGATGATGACGGACGTGACAGTTCCGGCACCACTGATGACAGAGAGGAGGAGGATAGAGAAGCAGGACGTCACTCGGTATCAGATGTTAGCGGTGCATAGGTTGAGGTGAGAAGTGACGTCGGTCTTGTGGCTGTGGATCCGCCGGAGTTTAGGCACAGTAGCTGGGAGTCCTGGCAGGCATATTTCGCTCTATATTGCCAGAGGATGATGCAGGTGCTTCTGGTCAAGGAAACGATGTCGCGAGCGGAGAGGAACAAGCGTCTGAAAAGGACTAAGAAGGGCGAAGACGACTCGCAAATGGTGCCGGAAACAACGGACCCTTATCAGCGCACGTACATCTGTACGCACGGTTGGAAGAAGCGCAAGTCGCGTAGCGAAGGTAGACGTCCGAGACAGCACATTCGTCACACGAATTGCCCCATTCGGTTCATTTTACAATGGAATTTGGCTCGTGGTGAGCTCTAAGTGAAGAATGGCAATTACTCACACAGCCAAAGGGTTTCTGTCATTACGTATGCTACGTATCCCACGTCTAGGGGCATCGCAGATCCATTGGTTGGTGCCCATGTGGATGGAATGCTAGCAGTTGGTGCAAAGCGGTCGCGCATCTACGACTACCTTCTAGATCACGATAAAAACGTAATCCGTCCGACGTTGACAACTTAGTGCGCAGCCACTCATCTTCCGTTTCGACATTGGACGACAACGACGCCACCGCTCGGGAAATCGACTTTTCGCAGCAGCAGATCTAGAGAATGTGTCGTCCGTGGCTGAGACGGATGAAGGAGAAAGCGGAGCGATCTCTATTGCTACCACTCACATGAGACGCGTGTACGGTCGATTTAGCGAGCTTCTTTTGGTCGACTGCAGCCACAAAACGAACAGTTTAGTTTTCTAAGTTTACATGATCAATCCTGGATTCTTACAGAATTAAACATGATTTTTTTCAGATACAACTATCAGTTGCTGACGTTCATGACGATGAACGAGTTTGGAGAAGGAGCCGTGGTGCAACAATCTTTGATCGAGGCGAACGGGGATTGGCACATGGAGCAAGCCATCTCTCATTTCAAGCGACTGCAACCTACACGTATAACATCGCTACGTGTTATTATCGTGGACAAGGACCTCAGCGAGATTCGAGTTCTGGAGACCAACTTTCCCGACGCTCGCGTCTTGATTTGTCACTTTCACGTGATAAAGTATTTGAAAGAGATGCGTGCTAAGCCTGAGTTCGGAAAGTTGTCGGCGGAAGATGCGAGCCATATAGACGGAGCGGTGCATCAAATGGTGTACGCATTATCCGAAGAGAAGTATAAGGACGCTTATGATTCGCTCAAGGGAATCTGTGATCGAAGTTTTATGCGTATTTTGAAAAGAACTGGGACGCTTGTCAGGATCGTTGGGTGTTATATCTACGGTCTACGCTTCCTCACTTTAAAAACCACACGAATAACTGCCTGGAGAGCTTTTTCGGGAAGCTGAAGGAGAGTGTAGACGGATCTATGAGCAGGGCTCAGTGTATTAGGACTCTGGTTGCTTTTGATCGTCGAAAAGAGAACGATTACCAGTACCGCGTATCTCGCATTGGTCAATTCGTGAACAGCAACTACGATGAAGAGATGTGTAACGTTCTGCGCTTCACAACTTATAATGTGGCTCGACAAATCGATTTTCAATATATTGCAGCAATGAACAAGGCTTTGATGTACCAGGACGTCATTGACAAGGCTGACGCTTTGTTGGTCATTGTGCGCGGCATTTTTTCGGAACACAAACTACGTCTCGACACTTAGGTCTGCGATTGTGAGATCGCTATCGCCATGTGCCTACCCTGCCGTCACGCCATTGCCTATCGCAAGAAACATGATGTATCTGGAACGCTAATTCCGTGGAATCGTATTGACGACAAGTATGTACTATGATCCGAGGCTGCTTGTGGTTTCCCAGGATTTTAAAGATAAACAGGATTTGTCCAGGATTCATTATAATATGGATATTGTATCTTGTTTCTAACTTGTGCATGTTGAACGAATACATAGGTATACAACAATAGCAAACCGCAATTTAAAGAGGGTCAAACAATTCACTTACGAAAGATTTTCAGGCGAATCACAAGGCGCATCAGCTCAAAGGGTGCGAACGCATTCGGACAGGTATCGAGAGGCAGTACGTGCGACTCATTTGATCGCAAATGAGCTGGCAGACATCGAAAACAATGACGAATTTGACGAGATGCTACGGTGTGTTACAAATCAGTGGAGAAATGTTCGCCTGCGGAAATTGGCGGAAACAGATATTGTCACGCAAGAAATGGAACATGCAGATGAAGTAGCGTCTCAAAGCTCAATTCAAGACAGTAATGATGACGTGAAACGAGAATTTGGGATAAGTAGCAGTGTATCCGAGGAAACCGACGATAACGACGAAGAGGAGAACGTATCATTTGGAGAAAATTGAGGAGTTAAGATAAAGCTGAACCCTTAAGTCAAAAAGGTTGGAGCTCCCAGAAAATTGAAGAAGAAGATGCTAGCAGATGAAAAAAACGACTGGAAGTGGTATGAAGCGGCAGAAGAAGGCAGAAAAATGGTGGTGAAGTAACGCTGACGACGCTATGTAACGCACTCGATCGAGAGCAGCCTGGGCTAGTTGAAACGGAGAGGCGGTTATCTGGTGTTCATGTCAAATATGGAGACTTTGAAAAGAAGCCAAAACGCAAAGTTTTAAAGAATCCTGTGGTGATCCAGGATCCATTCTACATTCTTCCTGCAAAGCTTCTAGAGGCATGTACGAAGCTACTTCCTGTTGGCAACACCGCGGCCGATGCAATTTCAATTGACCACTCTCAACAAAGTCAGTCTCAAGGTGTTTCTCGCACTGAAGGTCAAGGAAAAGTGGAGACACTGATCATCAAAGACGTGGGTACCTTCTCACGTAAACAGATCAAAACTTTTATGAGAGTCCAGAATATAAAGACTCCGGTACAGCTTAGTCTAGACCTGCACAAGTGACTTAGGCAGGATGGACTACCAGCACTACCTGCCGAATACCACGATCTAGCGATCAAAGCAGCTGAAGACGTGGTTAAGACCTACCCACATAAACGCATAGAGACTCTCCCTAACTACCCGGACTTTCGGTACGCGATGCTGTATCGAGCGGCGCCTCCAGTTTGGCTAAACAATGCTACGATAAGGGCGTTGTGCTTGCGACTCTGTGGAGATTACCCCACGTGCAGATTCGCCGGGTTCCAGTCCGCCATAACGAGGTCCAAACGTACGCGGAATTGAGACGATTAAGTTGTAGACGCTGATATACGCGATCCGGTTCTCCATCAAGCGGGCGAACAATCTATGGAGACGATTTTGCTGCCCCTGAACTTCATGAGCTTCCATTGGTGCTGTGTTACGGTAATGGAGAGTCAAAAACGGATATTTTACTATGATCCACTAAATCAAGGCCCCTACATGAATGCTGCCAAGGCTGTGGCGACCCACCTCAAATTAGCTGGGCTGCAAGGGTACGATTTTATTTCGCAGAACAACCCTATGCAGTTTGATCTGTTCAGCTGCGGAGTCTATGTGTGCTGGATGTTCATTCGGCAGGTGTGTAAGAGTGTACATCCGGACATGAGCAAGACTGCGCTTACTCGCCGACGATTTGAATTGTTCTACTACCTACTGACGGCCCGTCTACTCCCTGTGGAAGCCTCTACTTCGATGCCATATGCTGAAGATGATGGTACGGAGGAGAAATTGTCACCTCCGCGCAGCGACGACAAGAGTGATGGCGACGAAGAACTTCCCCCAACTCAAGTGAAGCAGTAGGTCGGCGGACCATATTGTGCTGAAACTTTGGAAGCGTACGGAAGTTTAACAGCTACTAATACATATTTCTTCTTCTTCACAAATGTTGTTTCTTCTTTGTTTCACCTCCTCGAGAAAGAAGATCTTCAAAGAGTCACTTCCGTCGTCTCCATACGCAATCTGATAGCTGCAGTCTTCGCATGGTTGCTACGTTATTTACACAGGATTAGTCCTGTAACGAAGTACACTTCCAAGATTAATCCTGGAAATTTTTAAGCCACACATTACGTATCTTACGGCTCTTGCTACTGCTATCGAAAAACATTGAAGTCAAAGCCATGTGTTTTATCTTGCTCATATTATGTAGTTCTATCCATGCTATGCAGCACTCACCGCTAAGAGTGCATGTCTAAATTTCGAGATTTATCTTCCATCGCGGTTTTGGTCGATGTAGTTCGTGCACATACCCAAGTATCGAAGGCGAAGATACGGCATCAGCTTGTAAAGGCCCTTGTGCCACGGAGTACGAGCAAGTGTCAGCTCCAGTACGATCAAGCACCACAGTCCACAGTTGTCGCTGTCTTCTTGAAGACACGAGGTAAACTTGCAGTAGTTAAGCTCGGCGTTCATCGGTAGCAGCGGCTCTACAACCTCCTTGATGGTATTCTCCAGCCTTTTGTAGTTTTATGTGCCTTGCTGGGGATCAAACAGTCAGCAGGCTCGGATCTATGTGGTAGACTAACCAGTGCGCTCCCCCGAAGTTTATCATATCGATTATATCCGTGTTTGCTTGCGAGAAAGCATTGTACGCGCTCGCCACTTTGCGCTTCCTATCAGGCTCCCTTTGTTCCACAAATGATGGACTAACAACGCCAGTATTTCCATCCTTGACAGCGCGACTGTGCATGGATGTTAGTATAGATGCTGTAGAGAGCCAATGACAGTAGCAAAAGCTAAGCAGTCGAAAGCCATCGATGGCCTCGGTACCAACAACCGACAAGCACAAATTTAAAGCCTTCACTAGATCCTGTAGCGTTTCCTATCAGCGTACTGCTCTCGCTTCTTTCTAACGAAGTCGGTCACCTCCGTTTGAGTCATAGATGCATGAATGAGCTCAAATGTAGCGAGCTGTGTAGCCGCATGCAAGGCTCGAGAGTCTTTTGCCTCCGTTCGTCGTGCTGTTCGCTCAATCTCTCGTCGCTGGGCTCGAAGCCCAAGTAAGCGCACAACACCCCAGCAGCGCCTCTCCACCGCAAGATCCTTCGCTCTCGTCGCTCTAAGCTCACGGGTAAGCACAACAACATGTTCATTCAGGGCTCAGCACCACTCGAACCAAGCACGGATGCTCCACCTACCGATTACGGGTCAATTTGGGGGTGACGGGAAAATTCTAAAACTCTGAAAACAGGCTTCTCATCTCGAATTTGCTCACTTGTCTCATAAACACACTGGTGCTACCGCAAAACACACTCCTCCTACCGCATTGCGGTAGGAACAGAACTTCTCGTATCTTACTCGTCCTCAACAAATTTGGGGGTAAATCCCTACGTTTCCACTCGTAGCGCACCTATGAATGTGTAAAGCGTTTCTCTAGCTGCCACCGCCAGCTCGCCAGTCTATAAGATTGCAACAAATTCGGGTATCAGAATGCGAAAGAATTTAACACTAAGTAGTACTTGAAATATTACACATGTATTAATTGAAATTTTAATTTCAACCGAGTACAGTACAGTACAGTACTGCATCCCGTTTTCGCAGGGGTGAACCATATAGGATTTGCAAATAAATCAGATTTTAGCATACAAAGTTAAGTTCATTTGGATTCAGGATCATATCATCCGGAAGTTTATCAAGGGTCCAGGGGCGCGAAAACGGGGTGCAGCACTGTACATGTATTTTATTGTGCGATAAGGTATGAGAAAGCAAAAGTACATGTACCGGTATGGCCTTTGTGAGCATCACCAGTACTGGCAACCAGTGGCGCGAAAACGGGGTGCAGCACTGTACATGTATTTTATTGTGCGATAAGGTATGAGAAAGCAAAAGTACATGTACCGGTATGGCCTTTGTGAGCATCACCAGTACTGGCAACCAGTGGCGCGAAAACGGGGTGCAGCACTGTACATGTATTTTATTGTGCGATAAGGTATGAGAAAGCAAAAGTACATGTACCGGTATGGCCTTTGTGAGCATCACCAGTACTGGCAACCAGTGGCCCATACTTTTAAGTACTGTGATACTACTGTACATGTAGTAGTATCTGTATAACAGCAGTAGAAGTACGATAGGCAGTACTACAGTAAATATATACTGCATATTATGCAGATTCAGGTCATTCCATTGAGGCCAAAAGTAAAATGCAAAATTGGAACGATGCATTTCAAGATGTTTCGTTTTTATCCTATCAATGACTCACGTCCAACACGTTTCTAATCTCGTTTAAATGTTGCACTCAACCGCAGCAAGTTTTCTACTTTGCGATCTCATCGCCATGAACCTCTTATATGCTGCGTGCGCCGCAGGATTGCGCCCTTCTCTCGTATTCTCCATTGCTTCTTTTGGCTCATTGTCTTCGAGGCACCATCTCGTGAACATTTCTCGGATGTGGTGGTGAAGATGGACAAATTCTTCGAGTTCTTCGGGCCATTCAAGAAAACCAAGTTGGGCTCTCAGGTTGCGCTTGCCTGTAGTGCCGCCTGTAACCAGCTCGGAGTCCCTGTCTTTGGAAGGGTTTGCCGAAATAACAGCGTCGCTCGCAAGAAAGGCTGCCGTAGCAACGGCGAAGACGTGGCACACACGCATAATAGTCCCGGGCAACTTGAGAGAACTGCGTTCTGCGAGGAAGATATCGGAATGAAGGCAGTTTGGTTACCCGCCATCCCATCCACACACGGTTGTCTTCATGCACCGTGAGAGCAGCCGCAAACAGCACATCCCAAGCTGAGCGATGAGCAACGGCAGGCGATGCGCTCTCCTTACAAAAAAACACATCAACCTGAGACGGGCTGCACTTTACGGTACGGGAGATTAATCCCAAATCGTAAACAGCACGAAACCATTTATTAATCTTCTACATGTACTTCGTATTAATTTACGATTTTACGATTTCATCGTCTTCTGGCCTTCTTGTTATCTTGCTCAGAGTTTCTATATGTATAGTACCGGTACTTACAATGTCATGACATGACAGACATTGTCCTGTACGACACCAGTAGCAAATGTACTGCAACTACATTGTAGGCGCAGTATACTCGAGAAAAAAACGTAATCCACCCTTTCATTCTTCACTACCATGGTACAGTATCCATACTCGCTGACATGTAGATGAAGGAATCTTTGAGCCAATATTCATATCCATAAACCGGTATGCGATTCTGAGGCTTGGTGTTCTTCTTAATACCGGTACTTCGAATATTACTCATGTTTTGTGCCGTTTAGGTTGATACGAGATTTTAAATCCACAGAACGGCATATGTATTCACTAAGGTCTTTCTAAGTACGAAGTAGGATTTCATTTAAGTTGGAATTCGTACTTGGATACGAAGTGGCGGAATTAACAATGTAAGTACCGGAGTTGTAATTGTTAAATACTTATAAGATTGTAGCATTTGATTCCGGCTTTTATCATAATTTGTGGCTCTCCCGAGCAGGTGGTACCGTAAACTGGCAAAGTTCCCTCCTCTACCTGCTCATGAGCACTTCGCTCTTGCTCCAGTCTCGTCGAGCGGCGTTGCTCTCGGCTCGTCGTTCATTGCCGCTATTGCAATCTGCGCGATGGATGCACGAGCCCAGCGCCGCGCTCGATTCTGCGAAACTCATTGGGAACAACAGCGAAGCCTCGTCCCCAGCACCACGGAGGGCATCCAAGCGCACCAGTGAGCGGCGGAAGCGGTCGACGCCAGCAGCGCGAGCAGCTGCACCTTCCAAAGCTTCTGCTTCAACAAGTTCCAGCTGTACAGAAGGTGCGGACAAGGAGGAAGGCAAGAAGCGCCCTCTCGTGTCGTCCTTCAAAGATGGCAAGCCTTGGATCACAGTCATGGGACTCGGTGGTGCAGGTAGCAACGCTGTCAACAACATGATCGCGTCGCAATTGGAAGGTGTGGAGTTCATTGTAGCCAACACAGACTGTCAGGCTCTGGGACGCTCGCTGGCGCCGCACAAGATCACGCTGGGCAAAGATATCACCAAGGGACTAGGAGCTGGATCCAAACCTGAGCTGGGTAAACGCTCTGCGGAACAGCAGAAAGTGGATATCCAACGGATGTTACAGGACAGCAACATGCTGTTTATCACGGGCGGAATGGGCGGCGGAACCTGCACAGGAGCCGCACCTGTCGTGGCCAGTGTAGCCAGGGAGCTGGGGATCCTAACGGTCGGAGTAGTAAGCACACCGTTCCGATCCGAAGGACCCAATCGCACTCGTCTGGCCAATGCTGGAGTAAAAGAACTGGCCAAGTACGTCGACACCTTAATTGTCGTGCCCAACCAGAACTTGCTGGCTTTGGCAGACAAGAGCACGACCATGTTGGAAGCCTTCCGGTATGCCGACGACGTGCTGCTTGAAGGAGTTAAAGGTGTCACGGACTTGATCGTTCGCCCGGGACTTATCAATTTGGACTTTGCCGACATCAAGACGATTCTGTCGAATGCAGGTCGTGCCATAATGGGATCAGGCATCTCGAGTGAAGAAGGTCGCGCTCGGAAAGCAGCCGAACAGGCTCTAGTGAACCCTTTGCTTGGCGACTTGCCTACGGAATCTGCACACGGACTTTTAGTCACTATTCGCGGTGGTGAGGACATGACTCTGTTCGAAGTGGATGAAATCATGGAGATCATTCGCAGTCGTGTACACGACGAAGCCAACATCATCTTCGGTACATGCTATGACCAGTCTCTAGAGGGCTCTGTGTACGTGTCCATTATCGTCAGTGGTATCCAGACGGACGTCATCTCCCCACCTATCGGAGGTGCCCATGTCCCTCTACAGGAAACCCACAAACGCGTAGAAACTGGCGAGTTCATCATCAAGCCCAAGCCGGATAATGATGACAAGCCAGTTGAACAACGTAAGGGATTGTTCGGTCGCTTTTTCTCACTTTAAAGATTAAGTTTTCAAAGAATAAAAATTGAGCACTTCGATTTTTAAAAAAGGTGGAAAAGAGCATCAAAACGAGCTCTAATCGTGATGTTATTTATTCTCCTCAGTTCGAGAGCTCGGCAATTGCGCCTTGAAGTTGGGTGCGAGCGTATTGCAACAGCTCCACGTCGCGGTTTTCCACCGACAGCTTGAGATTGCCGTCCGCTTCATCCTTCTCGTACCCGAGACTCTTCAGGAAAGCCACACCGCCAACAAGGCTGGCAACACGCTTACGGAACGCCGCGTTCTCTAAATTGATAATGCGGAACTTCTCCTCCTCGGGCTTCTCAACCAGGTTCTTCACATACACATTCAGCGTCTTGAGAGCCGTGAGACCATCGTTACCGACGCGGTATTTCTTCAAGATCCCCACGTTCTTCACGATCTGCTCCTTGGGGGTCAAGACGGGACTCTTCTTCTTCTCTTCCTCCACCTTCTTCGAGCTCACATCGATGGGTGCTACGTCGATAGGTGGACCACCCAACCGACCGCCACGAGCTTGACGTTCACGTTTGTCCATCTCGAGCTGCTTACGCAGACGCTCACGCTCACGCTTGGCGTCTTCCTTGTCCTTCTTCATCTTCTCCGCAGCGATCTTGCGCTGGATGGCTTCGATCTCTTCGCGGGACTCCTGCATGCCCTGTCCCTCGGTACGACGCTTCAACTCATTGGTACGTTGATCCAGCTTCTCCTGCTCCTCCCGTTCCGCACGCTTCTTCTCAATACGAGCCTTCAACTCCTCCACTTTGGCAGCCTTCTCCTCTGGAGTCAACTCACGTGTCGGAGCCGTCTTGGACAAATCCACAAACTTGATTGGCTCATCGATATCCGCATCGTCCTGATGGTCGCCTAGCCAGTTGATAGCCAGCTCAAGACCCTGGTTATCCGTTGCAAGCAATGCCTTGCGGGAGCGAAGATCGTCGAAGCCCATTTCTTTCAGTTGCGTCAGTAGCTCTTCGTTTACAGGCGGAGGCCCCAGTTCACCACTTTCTTCCTTCATTTCCTCGTCGTCGTCTTTAGGACGGCAAATACCGGTAGCTGGATCGCACACCGTGTTGGAATCTGGTACCGCCGGCTTAGCTGCGACCGGAGCGGCAGGAGCTGCCACAGGAGCGTTAGGCACCAAGCTCACGTTGTTGAACCGCTTCAGTCTGGCCTCACGAGCCTCGGCGGCTGACAGGGGCGCGGCTGGGCTGCCGGAACTGGCACCTAGTGTCATACCGGGAGAAGCGAAAGGATTGAAAGCAGACTGGCGCCACTGCTCGATCTTTGCACGAAGCTGGTTCGGGTCGGCGCCTACGAGCTCGTCCACTTTGCTCTGGTTCACGTAGAAGTGGAAGGTGGGGAACCCGCGGACGCCCAAAGTGCCGATGAGCGAGCGGTTCTGCGCCTCGTCCACTTCGAGAAATACCACGTCATGGTACTGGTCGCTCAACTGATGGTACACGGGCTTGATGTGCTGGCACGGGCCGCACCAGACGGCTGAGAAGTCCACCACTACCAGCTTTCCACCTGCGTGTTGCATCTGCGCGTTCCAGTCCGAGTCGCCGTGCACCGAAATTACGCCCATGATCACTCTTCTCGCAAGCTTCTCAAAGATCCCGGGCAAAATATCGTTTAAGCGTGAAAAGTTTACATAATTTCACATTTTATTGTGAAAATGTTAAAACTTACTTCGAAGAACACTTTTTAAAAAAAACTTTACATTTTGATAAGAATATAAAATTAAAAACCAAACTTTGCGGACAGAGCCACAAATACTGCAAAGATCATCCTGTTCCAGTTGTGAGCAGCTTTCACAATAGTGAAAAATTTCATACTGTGAATTAGGCATATCCGTTGCGCACGATTTTCGTCAGAACGCGCTTCTTCGTGTTGAGGCAAATCGATCAGAGCTTTGATCTTGGCCAGAGTTACCTTTTTTAGCGAGCGAGACTTGTTGTGTAACGGGGTACGTAGCACTAAGTGTACCCTGGTTACATGAAGTGTGACACTTCACACTTCAGGAGTATGACATGTCATACTCCGGGATATTTGGTACAAGGTACCAAGGTCATTCAAAACCAACCATTGGTTAAATGACATTGCATTTCTATAGGTAACTGATAGTTTGTATTAACCTCAAACTTAACCTACCTATAAATATACTTAGTTTACAATCTACCTTATTTAGGTCACTTCGCTCTCTTTAATTAAAGAGGGGACCTGTGAACTGCCGTTCACTGAGAGTTTGTATACTCTCGGAAGATAACTTCCTCTAGCGCAAGGTGCTGTGTGACCCCGTCACACTTGGTAGCACTTGTAGTCAATCCACGCCATCGCGGGTAGACTACCTGAACCTCCGAAGTTCGTTGCCATGGATAGGAACGACTTCTCCCATATGAACGACTCTCAGTTCGAGTCGGTTCGGAAGATGGCAGGCATCTTCGGGATGGAGGCCCTGTAGAGCCTGGTGGTATCAACACCGGCTGAGCAGCTCGAGCGCGTCAATGCATTCGACGCGTACGAGCAGGGCCTTATCGCGCATGTGCGGGAGAACCTGCAGGCTCCGGCGGCGGAAGCAAACCCGCCTCACCCGAAGCCAATACGGCTGAAGGTAAAGCCGTATGAAGGGAAGGAAGGCGAGAACCTTCACTTCTGGGTCCGAGAAGTAGAGCTCGCGATGGACGCGGCTCTGATCTCGACCGAGCAACTGCGTGTTGCTTTTGCACTCTCCAACCTTAGCGGTCGTGCTAAGAGTTGGGTGTACACTCGGGAAGCGACATCCCCTGGATGTTTCACATCCTGGGCTCAGCTGTGCGAACAGCTCCGAGCCGCGTTCCTCCCGGCGAACTACGAGTACCGCCAGCGTTCGCGCTTCCTCGCGTGTAAACAAGGAAGACGCGAACTGCACGAGTATGTGCAGAGATACGGGAGCTCACGGCGTCCCTAGTGGGAAACCCACTCAATGAACACATCAAGATGACTGTGTTCATGGACGGCCTTCGAGTGGGCCCCGCACGCACTCAGCTGTTCCGGGTGCAGGCAAGCACCCTTGAAGAGGCGATTCAAGTGGCTCTTCAAGAAGAATACAGCCATCGCCAGGCGCGTACGCCGGCCTCAGCGTGGCCTGGGAGTTCCTTGTCGGCTCCCGGTCGAACAAGCCCCAACGGACCAGTTCCCATGGAACTCGGGTCCGCCGAACAGCGTGACATCCGCTGCTTCGGCTGTGGGAAGATGGGCCACTTCAAGCGCGACTGTCCCGCGGAAAGACTCCGCAGACGGTCCTTCCCCAAGCCCGTCCTCAAGGGTCGCTGGCAGAAGCCAGGATCCCGGGGACAGGGGAACGCAGGGAACCAGTAGGGGCGGGGCGCCCTACTGGGGAAGAACTAAGTCTTCGTGATGGGTCCGCGGGTGGCGCGTACCACGGGGACTTAGCCCCTGAGAGTCTTCGCACTCTCGAATCGGCGAAGAGCAGCGGCGGGTTGCTCGTAGTACACGGATGTGTACGGGGGTACGATCACCCCTTTAGAATCTTGATTGACTCTGGGGCGTCGAAGAATTTCGCACGCCGCCAGACGGTTGCTCGTAACAGCAACAAGTTGTCCGAAGCTTTGCGAGAAAGCAAGGGCAACGGGACGGTGTCAGTGCGACTGGCCGACGGGAAGGTCGTCACTGTCCCCAACGTCCAAGTGGATCTGGCTGTCAAGTTTGAAGACTTTGACAGCCTCGAACAGTTCACTGTTCTCGATATGGATCCATATGATATGATCCTGGGCATGCCCTGGCTTGAGAAGCACGAGCCCTGGATCGACTGGCGAGGCAAGGAAATCGGTGCCAGCCGCCCTGCGCAGTCCGACAGAGCATTGGTGAGTCATGTTCCCACCTCTGTCAGGACCCGGGGCGCCCGCGAGGGCTGCCAGGGTACCAAAGCATCCGGCAGATGCTTGGGAGTCGTCGACGTATATGACGACTCCGAGGATGTTTTGATGGTGGCCGCGCCCAGAAGAGGCGCCGGCCAAGTGGGTAACTTAGGTCCACAGGCGGGTAACTTAGTTCCGCAGACAGCTGCAGCTGTCATGAACACTGAGAACAGCGTGTTCAGAGTGGGTAACAGAGTTCCACTCACGGTCGCCCAGACCATAACTGAAGAGGAAGACGTCGGATACGCTTCCTGTGTGAGTAACACAGTGCCACACGCGGTCGCCCAGACCTTAACTGAAGAGGAAGGCGTTGAACACGCTTCCTGTGTGGGTAACACAGTGCCACACGCGGTCGCCCAGACCTTAACTGAAGAGGAAGGCGTTGAACACGCTTCCTGTGTGGGTACAACAGTACCACACGAGGCCACGAGTGCCTCGGATGTCGTAGCGACGACATCCCTAGACGTGGGCAGCAAATCTCCCCGTCACAGAAGCCGTCGGCAAAGACGCCGCCGCCGCCTCAAGTCGGATCCGAACTTCGTTCCGATCGACGTCGCTTCAAGCGACTCGGAGTCCAGGGCCCGGGCTCCTCCGACAAGGCCGGTGGAAGAGTGTTATCACATCTTCGATAGCGAGACGGGTTTACCCGTCAAGGCATCTGGTGTCCACTTGGAACCGTTGCCAGAGGTTGCAGAGATACTGAACCTCGAGGAAATGACGGCTGAGTCTTTCCTGGCCAACCTCAAGGCTGGAGAGATCGCTGAGATGGTACTCATGAGACCTGAGACCACTCAGGAGGAGCTGAACTCCTCCTCTGTCTTGGACGAGAACGTCCTGGAAGACATGAACAAGCAGCGTCAGGCGCGCTTGGGCTCTGAGATTCTCAAGAACCCCAAGGATCCGGTGTATCCTTTGGTGACGGAGTATGCGGACGTGGTGAATAAACACCCACCGACCCAACTCCCACCGGATCGAGGCGTACGGCACGAGATTGATCTCGTGCCCGGCACAAAGTATTGTGTCACGAGGCAATGGCCTCTCCCGCGCGAACAGTGCGAGGTCATTGATGCCTTCTTCGCCGCGAAAGCGAAGGCAGGCATGGTGCGGGAGTCGAAATCCCCGCACTCGACGCCGACTTTCTGCGTTCGTAAGCCGAACGGAAAGTGGCGTCTGGTTCACGCTTATAACAAGCTGAACAACGCAACGGTGCCGGCCCAAACACCGATCCCACGAAAGGATGTGTTGTTGAACAACATGGCCGGGAGCGTACTGTACAGTGCGCTGGATTTGGTAGACGGATACTACCAAATCCTGATGCGAGAGAGTGACATCCCGCTCACCGCGGTAAGCACTCCAAGCGGCATGCTTTGGGAGTGGCTCGTCATGCCGCAGGGCTTGTCTAACGCCCCGGCGACGTTCAATCGCCTGGTGACGCAATTGTTCCGCCCTTTGCGTACCTTCGTACAGACGTACTTCGACGACATTTTCGTCCATAGCCGTGCCGAGGGAGGCAAGACGGCCATGGAGGTGCATCTAGGACACCTCCGTCGAGTGTTGGACGTGATGCGAGCGAACAAGCTCTACGCCAACATCGACAAGTGCGTTTTCGCGTCACCAGAGATCAAAGTTCTCGGTTGCTTCGTAAGCAACGTGGGCGTTCGGGCTGACCCAGACAAGGTCAAGGCCATAGCAGCATGGCCGACGCCCCGATCCCAGAAGGATCTTCGAAAGTGGTTGGGTTTGGCCAACTACCTTCACAAGTACAGCGCTGGGTACGCGGGCTTCGCTAAGCCCTTGTCGAGCCTCCTTCAGAAGGACGTCGACTGGCGCTGAGAGCAAGAGCACCAGGATGCTTTTGACAGCATCAAGGCCAGTCTCCAAGAGGCCCCTGTCCTGGCTCTGCCGGACGAGACGAAGCCGTTTAGCGTCGTCTGCGATGCCTCCGATTACGCCATCGGGTGTGCATTGCTGCAGGACGACACGGCTGGACAGGAACGAGTCATCTCATTCCAGTCCAGGCAGCTCAAAGCCGCCGAGCGGAACTACCCTGTCCATGACAAGGAGCTCCTGGCAATGAAATATGCCCTTGTGAAGTTCCGTGTTCACCTTCTGGGCTCTACGCCCTTTGTGATCTACACAGACCACGCGTCCTTGAGGACGGCGACTAACTCGCCTCACCTCTCCCAACGGATGGCGAGGTGGCTGTCCTTCTTCGCGGAATATAACTTCCGCGTCGAGTACAAGCCGGGCAAGCTCAACGTGCTTGCGGACGCCCTCTCTAGGCGTCCCGACTATGAGTTGGCCCACATCACGCGGGTGACAACGGATCTATATGATCGGATACGCATGGCGTATCGGGACGATGAGGCTGTCGCGCCTATCGTCAAGTTCCTTAAGGCCGGAACGAGCGCGAAGTCCGACTGGCTCTCGTCGCGACAGCGCTCACGGCTCCACCGATATGAGTTGAAGGAGGGCCTCCTCTATTATCGGGTGGAGCCCACTGATCCTCCACGGGTGGTCGTACCCAACGACGAGGATCTGAAGTTCGACATCCTCGCGGAGGCGCATGACGCGCCCTCCAGCGGCCACTTGGGCCGCGAGAAGACCTTTCTGTCGGTCTCTCAGTCCTTCTGGTGGACCCACATGTACAAGTGGGTCGCCCGGTACGTCAAGACATGTGAAACATGTCAGCGGGTTAAACC